ACTTGGAAGAAAGTGTTGCTGCATCTTACTGTATGCTGAATCGTCACTTTGGCTAAGTACCCTTCCCTTGTAAATAAGTAAACACGCAAGAGTATCTTCTCAATCAGCATTTTTCTATCTTCTTTTCATCAAAGATGGTAAAGAGGTGCTGCACAGGCTTCCGATTGCAGCTCAGGGTTTAACTGCAGGTGCGACACTTTTTAAAGGCAAAAAACGGAACTTTCTGAATACAGTAATGTCAATAGAAATAATGTTATTGATAATACCGGTGGAGGGGCAGGTACTGAATGTTTGAAAAACGCACAATTTGGTTTTTTGACTACTTTGCTGTGCTGTTGGACTAACTTTTAACAAAATTAGTTAGTAGCCATTAATGGTGAATGGTACTTGTGAAAGATTGCTTATTCGCTGAAACTTCAGATTCCCCATTGCCGCCGCCACCACCTCCACCGCCACCAAAGCCAACATCATGCGCGCAGATGCAGTGTCCCATGGGAACCACATGTAGAATGGTGCAAGAACCATGTACTCCTGGAAGACGTTGTGCGCCATTGCATCCTACTTGTGTGGCAATGAGTAAGCTTGAATAATTTCAATTTTGAGTTATCTTTTTCTTTGGTTTTGGATGGTCTCCAAATTATTCTTACGTGCTAAGAGGCTCAAATTGTAGTATTTTGATGAGCAAATTCTGCAGGGTAAGATATTTTGTGTTTCACGATGCACATGTTGAAACAATAGTATAATCCAAAGAATTCTGCACTAAGCAACTGTAATAACCTCAGGCGCTCCACTTCCACCACCACCTCCACCAAGACCTCTGGACTGCTCACAAGTGCGCTGCGCAGTAGGAATGGTGTGTCAGATGGTACATCAGCAGTGTACGCGCCTACCATGTCCGGCTCCAGTGCCCACATGTGTGATACCACGTAAGCACATCATTTTCATATTCTATATCTCGTCCGGAAAGAAAAAATTGAGAGTTTTGAATTATGTTTTCTCCTTAGATTTGTGCAGCGTATTCATAGAAACAAAAATATTAAGGGTTTAATCTATGTACTTGAAATAGCTAATGTACGAGACGTGCGAATTTTTTATAACGCTGATGTACCTTAAGGTATATTTTTTTAAGTTGTGAAAGAGGACGAAATTGTTTTGGAAAAGATAGAGGACCAATAAAAAGAGTTGCGGCTGCTGGCGACTACTTAAGGCAAATGATTCGAG